CCTTACCTTCACAGTTCCTGGTATATTTTCTAACTCTATCATATACTGGGAAATCATCAATGGGTTCAGAACCAGCTGCCACACCATTGAAATAAACTGTTTTCTCCACAGGAAATTGCAGACTTCCATTATTTTGCAGGCTTATTCGTTCTCTCTCTTCAAAATTGTATCGCAGTTTCTTTTTCCTTCTTCTATCAATTGTGTCATATTCCTGAGGATATCTAGGGACATTTACAGACCCTGACTCCAGATACACATTTTGGCAGTATCTTGATCTTTCACAGTGATTTAAATTTTCTCTTTTTGAGAGAGTTTGCATCTTTTTCACATTTTTCTCATGCCAACTTCTAGTTTTATGAGTTTTTCCTAAGAAATCCTCTATTAACAGTTTTCCTAGCTCTTCATAGTTACTCTCCTGTTCTTCTTCTCCATCTTCAGTGTCAAATGGAATGATCCTGACTCTTTCATTTCTACCTAGAGATCCTTGTCTAAGATGAGAAATAAAGGGAGTGGGAGGGAAAGGAAGAGAGGCAGCAAAAAAAAAAATAGGAAGGGAAAAACAACAGTTTTAAAAAAAGCTATAGGAAGGACAGAAAAAATAGCAATGGAAAAACATGCATTAAATAAACGAAAATTAAAATCAGAAACATTCAGAAATAACAAAATTGAAAACCTTCCAATCTACCACCATTACACTTCAATCAAATAGTCAAAAAAAGCAGCACGGGTTGTGAGATTCCGTCGGTAATGTCTGCACAAAATTTAGAAATGCCTTTTTAAGGGAGAACAGCTTCTTGTGATCAAGTGAGGGCACACAGCCTTGGCTGCACCAGTACTCTGCTGTTGCTTTTTTGGGCATGCTGAAAAGAAGTCACTTATTGCAGCAACAGGACTACTGTGAGATGCAGTGCCCACGCGCACCATTCCACTATGCTGTGCCTGCATTTCGGTCACCCTGGGCTGCAGACTTTGTTTTAGCAGTACTCATAAAGCCTTCAGGGACCCTGTATCTCCCAGGGGTGGCAACACAGCAGAGATTTCATGTGGAGAGTTAGGAGTCACTGGATCCCAGGCAAGTGAGGACAGGGGACAAAATGCAAACTGTGGGCACAAGCAACAAGAGGAGTTTCAGCTCTTTCACCATCTCTCTTTGCTGGGAGAGCTCTTGCTGCAGCTTAAGGTCTCAAGGTACTCCTACCAACACAAAATTAAGATTCTCAGAGCTGTTACTGGACAGGAAAAACAAAACACTGGCCCTGGATATTAGCCCATCATAAGCCTCAGATGATTTTCAGGACCTGTATTTCCCATTTATACTGCATCTGAACAGATCCAGCAATTTATAACTGTCCATTCTGGGAGAATGGATTAAGCTGGGAAACAATCTGATGCTTCCTAGAAACCCAAGTAAATGACCCTTGGGATTTTGGGATTAATTCTTATCCCTTGGTCAGCAGGATAACCTCAATCGTTCAACAGCCCCAAGGGTAGTAGCAAGGAAACTTCTTCTTCATCTGAACCTCACAAGGACAGCTTCTGACAATTTACATACAAACAGGCAGAAAGTGGATGTAAAAACATCAACATGATCATCTGAAAGATGCAGCTTTGCCACACATCATCTATTACTGAGAACTGAGGAGTTTGAGGGTATGTGTGTCCCTGACCCCCTAGTGCCACAGAAGGGAAAAGACAGAGGGCACACAGGCATTTTATGGATACTGCTAATCCAAGAGTCTTCACCATGAGAGCTGCATGGAGCATGCCAACACAGGATACAGATGGGATAGTCCTGAAAGAGAGAGGGGTCATTGCATTTTCTACTGCTGCTTTAGTGCTGCATTTCCAACAGTATTAGCTAACTTATACTAATTGGAAAGATGCTCATTACTTTAAATGAATCCTGTTATACACAGTTTAGAACACTTATTACACTTCTTATTCACTATTTTAAGCTGGTAAATGAAATAGTTTTGTTTTAAGAGATTCCCAGGGCCACCATAGTTACTGGATCAAGCACTTCCAGAACTCAGCCAAAGGCAATGGGCACTACATGAATGTCTCAAAAGCCATTATCCGTAAATGCTGAACCAAAAGAATGGACTTATTTAGGCATAAAGAAAATTACTTTTCTTTCTAATCTTTCTAAATTCCTTCCCTCCTTCCTTCCTTCTATGTGTTTCCTCTGCTCTTTGACAAAGCATCCCTTTTATTAGAAATAATGACGAGAAACCCAACATGTGAGAGGAGAAAAAGACATCAGCCCAGCATTTAACCACTACAGATCTAAAAAACAGTTGAGGCAAACAGCAAATATCAGCTGAAATGTACCACAAGAACACTTCAAAGTAGCAACACTGGGAGACAGGTAGGGAGGTGCAGAGAGGGTAACCCATTCATCTGGCAGATCTAAAGACTCAGATGTGGACTCTCATAGTGGAATCTATGCTATTGTACTGAGTAAGACTGGGGAGGTATGGAGGACAAACAGTTAAAGAAAATGAGCATTGCAAAGAAAAGTTAGTGCTTGAACAAAACAAAGGAAGAGAGGCAGCAAAACCAAAAAAAAAAACAAAAAAAACAAAAAAAAACACAAAAAAACCCAAAAACCAAAAAAAACCCAAAAACCCCAAACCCCCCCCCCCCCCAAAAAAACACCCCAAAACCAACCAACCAATCAACTAAACAAAAAAACAAAAAAATCCCCACCAACCAAAACTGAGGGAAAGATGTCTACTCTTCTGAAGCCAAACTGGTTGCTGGCAGCAAAACATACTCCAAGGACACATAACAATATTACTGGTTGTCATCCTTAGGAGAGGTTGGAAGAAAATACATTACTTCAATAAAAGGAATATGACCACGTGGAACAGCTAATAAAGAGAAGCAGAACTTTTTATGCAAACCCAAATATTGTATGAAAAAAACCCAGGTGCTAGAACAGACAGCTACAGCTGAGGCATTTTGGCACTGACAACCTTCTGCCCAGCTCAAGACAGGTTCTTGTCTGGTTCTTCTGGGTTCTGCCCAGGAGAGCCTCCTACAAGCCCTCATTTTCACAGCAACCATCAGCTGCAGTCTGCCAGGAACAGTGATTTCATCAGGTGATTGCCTGGCACAAAGCACTGAGAGCTGCTAGGAACAAAAGTCAAATACAATTTGTTCCTGCAATACTCAGCTACAACTTTGTTTTGAAAATATTTCAGATCTACCCACTACTTCTTTTCAGCCAGCTTGTTAGAAATACCTTTCTGGTAAGCAAGAGAATCCCACGTACCTTCTTTGGAAAGCTTATTTGCATATTTTATGTTATAAGATTAAATATGCAGCAAAGAATCTTGTTGGGCATGTGGAAAATGTCCATGGGATCAGGAATGCTCAGGTCACCATTGAGGATTTGCATTTCTGGACTGAAAGTAATTTTAGACCATAGCAAACTACAAAGCTCACGGTTTTAAAGTAAATTTCATCAGTCCAGATGCTTTTACATCAATACCTTAAGGCAATCAGGGAAAAAAAAGAAATATATTCCAGCTTGGTATTCTCTAAAAATTCAAACCAGCAGTGGTTCTTTGGAAGGTCTTACAAACACATTTATCTTTTAGATACAAACTCACACACTGACTCTAAGCAAAGTGAGCTATGAAAAACCACCTGTATTGTCAACACCACCTGAAGAAATCACATAACTCCAAAAATATGCCACCATCACTGGCTTCCCCTCACTGGGGGTCCAACATCACTGTTCAGCTCAGCTCTTCCAAAAAGAAAAAGCCTCAGCTCATCTTCTCAGTTAGATCTTCAGCAATTTTACCACTGCAAACCAGCAGCACAGACTCACATGGGAAAGGGAATAACTTGCTTATATATAAGACATTTCATGAACTAGGAAGAGAGCACTAGGAATGACACATCACACTGCAGTAAATGCATTTTGTTAGCACATTTGTTTCTATTCTTGAAACCTCAGTAACAGTAACAACATTAGATGTTACCATTAAACTTCACCCTTTACCATTAATGACCGTACATCAAGAAGGGCAAAACTTAGCCTCAGCCATCCAAGACAATGAATTTAGGTTCAGACTTCAGAAGACAAGAACATTCACTCCAAGGGAGATAAGGCAGAAGAAAATCAGATATAGTACAAATAAAACTCTGCACCTCTGTGATAGTGCTTAAGTAGCTGCCTCTTCCTTCCTCACCAAAGGCAGAAGCAGCAGCCTAACCTGTATCCTGTTCTACAGAACCACTCTTAGCAAGCTGACCAAAATCAGCAGCACTGCTCAAAATTTTCTGCTTTCACCTTGCACAATTAGCTCTAGCTCACAGCCATTGATCCTGGTAAGCTCATGCTGCAAGGCTCAATACTTCCACAAGTTATAAACACTTGTGAAACCACCAAATCATGGTTTAAAAAAATTCTGAGCAAACAAACTCTCCTTCATACAGCTGAAAGTAAATCTAAAGAGAAAGCACACCATTCAACAGTGTTATATGGTAAAAGGAACAGAAGGAAAAAACCCCCAACAACTAATCTGTTACAGACTTTCTTCTTGAATACATTGTTTTGGCAGATCTAACAGAACTGGAGCTAATCCAGAAGAGAAAATAAATCTGGGTCAATAAAGAAGGTCCCAATAGGATAACTCGCTAGAATGTCTTTCACTGGCTTGAGAGGCACACCTACGCCATGGTACCAGAAGAAGCAAGTACTCACTACTCTAGCCTTCAGAGAGTAAGGGGAAAGTGCAACCAAGAGCAAATCACCTGAAGATGAGCATAGCTGTTAAAAGTAACTCCCTAAACTGCCAGATCTGGTGTAACACATACCCTCACGGGTTTTTCCTGGTTCACAGCAGAATCCCAGGGTCAACAACACACGTAACACACCTTCCTACCAGAAGACTTTTAGAACCTTTGATCTGCCCTCCCCTGCCAGTTTCATGGTCTGCAGTGGAAAAAACAACAGGGAAAGGAGAGCTACTTAGAGAACTCACCTGGTGGCCACATGCTCCCGATAATCCAGATCATAATTCTGGAGGGAGTCGGCACAGGAATCCCGCAGGACTCCCTGCTGCTGCAGGCGAGCCGGGCCCGTGAACTGGTGCACGGAGGCGTTGGGCTGCACGGTGCTGTGGTACGGAGGGGGGATGCTGCTGCTCGTCTCGCTGCGGTAGTCGCTGTCCCGGTCATCCACAGCACTGTCAGCATCTTCAAAGGCTAAGAGACAAAAGCAGTTTAAGGGCACAGCTCTCTGAAGTTGCCGTGCTGGGACAGTGAGCCCGTTTAGTTTTGGAAGAATGACAAATAAACCACTATTTCTGCTGTGGCTGTATCTCCATCTGGGAGCTGGCTATAACCTCCAGTTCTCTCAAGTGTGCACCAAGGAACTGCACTGATTAGATCCACACCCTCCTTTCCCCCTTTCTATTACAGTTTATTTTTCTTTAACCATTACTAATAGGCACATTAAGACATTTTTATTTAAAACAAAAGGAAACACCCCCTCTAACTAAAAAAAATAACCAAACAACAACAACAAAAAAAACCCACCAGCACCCAAAATTTCAGGTACTCTGCAGCTGCCAAAATGAACCTTTAGATATTTGAAAAGGAAAAAAAAAAAAAAACCAAAAAAAACACCAAAACAACCAAACCACAAACCCAAAAACACTTTGTGGAAAGGAGCTCTTTCTGAAAGTTTTTCCACCTTTAAGCTGTAATACTGTCCTTTCTTCTCAGCATTCTTGAACTCTCAGCAAACCAGAACTTTGTGGCTCTGGATTTTTTTTTTTTTTTTAGTATTAGTTTAAGTTAGGATAAATTAATGGAAACTACTCAGTAGGAAAATCAGAAGAACTGGGAGAGCAGTTCTACCTATAAACAATTATACTACTTCTCATAGGGGAAAATTGCTACATTTAACACACACGGGTATATTAGCTTAAGCTCAAATACTTAACACTAACAATAACCTTCACAAAGGAAAAAGCTCCTTTCCAGTGAGTCCTTCTCCCTGCAGAAGCACTTCTGCTTCATAATCCTTCAGGAAAGGAGAATGCCAAGTTATACTGAGGTAAGGTATCAAAAATATATGGTTGTGTATGGCTGTGCAGGATGCAAGATTATCTTTGCAAGCTTAAAGTGAAATACACACACCATAAGGCAGTGGAGTGAACCATTAACATGCTTGCCACAAAAGAAAATAAGGATCAGCTATTATTCATTCTCTCTGCCACCAAGTCTCTTTAAAAAGGACTTTTTAAATCAAATTAAAGCCCTCTCTGTAGGTTATCCAGTGGTGTGTGTCCTACACAGTCATTCATCATGAGGCTGACCAATAAAGTGAAAGTGCTCTTTACATGCCAGATCCTTAAAGAACCCAGCATTTAAGTGCTGAAATTCCAAGCAGATAGAATGCAGCATCAGGGAACCCCCTTTTCTTCCACAGGTGCTTTCCATACCCCTAACTCAATTTCCTTTTTTTTTTTTAAATCTGAGGTAAAATTTGTTCTTGGTGATCTTCTCAGTTTCTTCACAACACAGTAAGATTAGCACTCGAAAGTGGATGGAAGAGGACCAAAGAATAGCAGCAGTAAACATCTGCAAAATATGGGCCACTTGAAAAAGCCCTGCTCTACACTTTTAACCAATTCAATTTGCTTGTCCACACTGAAAATGGAGTTAAGCGTCCTGCCTTTTTGTAGTTTAAATGCTGCAGGGTTCTTGTCAGTCTCTAGTCAATTGACAAGAAATGAGTATCAATCACATGCTGCTGTATTCAGCTTTATTAAAAGCACAGTGTCCATCAATTTTATCCCACCTCAGTGCTTAGGAAACATATTCAATATTTACTACACAGAAATAATTTTATATGCCAAACCCCACTGAGGAGCACCAAACTTCCAGCCTGTGGAGCAAAGGCTGATCTATTTGCCAATCACAAGGCTCACATTGACCTCACAAGAATAACAAGCTGTTACTCAGCTGAGCAATGTCATTGTTATTACTCAACACTTGAGCCACTGCCATCTAATGAACAATAATTTCTTCTACTGGACAGAAAACACACTGCTCCGAAGAGTCTTTTAATGCCTCACTTCGCTGCTCAACTAATTTCTTCGTCCCATCAGATGAAACCTGTCATTTAAGGTAAAGCCTAAGTAACTCTGGTATGATGGAAAGTTCTTCAGCTGTGACTCCATAATCATCACAGCACTTGTAGAGGCTGAAAGCAGCCTAACAGAGATACAGGTTTAAGATCTGGTAAAAGTCACCAGACCAACAGCTTTAGGGATAAACAATTTAGCTAGCCTCAAATGTATAACAAAAAATACAAATCAGTAGTAAAATTATTTGGTGAAAAAAGCTGAATCCAGTGACTCACTGATACTGGGAGTGCAAAGACTTACACGGTTATGTTCATTAGGATGCAGAACACTGTTTCTATGGGTCAGTAACTCCGACCAGCTGACAGGCTCAGAGAATTCCAAATGAATCAGAATGTTGCAGAAGCACTATCTGGATCTGTTAACCAGTCATTGCATCTCACTTCTGCACTATCAAACAAAGATTTCTGACATAAACCACAGTATCTCTAAGCAGCCTCCCAAAACATCTAATTAGCATATATGTTAATCAAACATTTAGTGCATGTATGTTTATAAAAGATAACACCAGAATTTCTCAGAGCTCTTACTGGTTTGTAGCAGGAGGAAGTCTCTTTGAGGTCACGACACAAAATGCCTCCCTGGGGCACGTTTAAAGGATGCAAGGCTCCATGAGGCAGGAACATGGTTTTTCTCTGCTGTATGCCCCACAATCCTAACAGCATCCACCGATGTTAATACCAGACACAAATCCTCAACTCATAAATAAGAGTGAACTCAAAAAACACTTAATCATGCTGATCTGCAACTACCCTATGAGCACTCTCACTTTATTTAACAGAAGTGTTCTCAAACAAAGACATTGCTCAGTCTGATCAAAAGCATTAAAACCTGGCCCATATGTGGCTTACAGCACACATTTCCTTTGCAACAAAGTTTTCTGAAATGCTAACATATAGCATTGATGATCCCATTCATTAACATACTTGATGCTTAAATTTTAATTAAGAGACTGACAAGAACTTGAAGAAGTAGCTTTGGGGATGCAGCACCCCTTCAAATGGAGGCATTACAGCCTGTGTTTCAGCAAAATATGCCTCACAACACACATGGCGTAATAAATTCAAGTAGTTTTCTTCAAACAGGTCTTCTATAAGCAAAGTTGGAACTTGGCCTCAGTCTCGGAAGATCAGTAAAACTAGTAGCAAGACGCATAACAATAAACATAAAAAGACAGTAATTTTTTTTACCCCAGTTTGAGAAATTTCACATATACCAAAGAGCTGCCAAGGGATGAAAACTGTTTCTTTGTCACTGGACCTACTGAGTAGAGAGCTGTGGGTAAGGCTGAAGGGCAGGACAGAAGCATGCTGTTCGTGTTTCATTATTGAATATTCATGCATATAGGCAGCATAAGAAGAAAACCCATTGGGGCAGTCACATCACACAGCAGGATTTCACAGAATGGGGAAAATCAAGGAAGGAGATACCTTCTGTGATTGTTATTCTCCCTCTAACTCCCGCCCCCAGAAGTTATAACATGACTGCTGCAGGGTAGAACACATACAGTGTTTTTAATATCTTGACCTCAAAACCACGTTGACAGTCCTGCTACACCAGCTCAACTAGTCCCCTTTAGCCTCTGGCATCTTCCTTTAAATCAAACTTCAGGACAGGAAGGAAAGCTAGCAGCAAAATTATTAGTGGTGGCTGGATGAATGCACCTGAAAAAGTGGTTTTTCCTGGTTTAAAGTCCCAAGACACAGCAGGACCACCTCTCAAAACATATTCAGTTGGAACTGTCTCCTGCTTTTCTAGCACAGTGTGTCCATCAGCCCCTGGGAGCTGATGTCCAGTGCCCCAAGCGTAGTTATCCTCTACAAACTTGAGCAAAATCTTGGACAAAACCCCTCATTAGTTCTCCAAAACAAGCACTGATCTTTTTACAGCTTTTGTCTATTTTAATAATGGTGGAAGAAAATAAAGTGTACTAACTGAAGGAATAACTTCCAGGTCAGCAAAAGTCTCTGCCAGCTCTACACCATGGGCCTTGCAATTAATTCACCTTCCCCTCCCATCATCCATTTATACTTCTTTTCATCATAGCTGCCAACAGCTTCTTTCCTCAAGTCTCAGATCCCACTGCACCATCATCTACTGAACCACTGGTCACTTCTGACAAATACGCTTTCCAAAATCTTATCACCAAAATGCATACTAGCTGAACGAGGACTACTGAAGTAAGAAGGAAGAAAAAAATTTCAAAAGGACACAAGGGTGTTTTTTGAGGCTCTCTTATATCTTTTTATGCTAAAACTGCCTAGATTTTAAGAAATTATTTAAATGGAACTTTGCAGGTCATTAGTTCATTGTACTGCACTCATAGCTTAAAAATACATTAGAAATGTGCATATTTTTAAGATAGCATGTTTGCAATACTAAGTCTCCAGTTTAAGAGCTTTCATAATTCTGTTTTTCTCACTTGAAAATACTCTGCTGCTGAAACTTTCAACAGCCAAGAACAGAACTGACAGGCTGAAGTGCAAAGACTCCCTTGAACATCTACCCTACTTCTTCAAGCCTTTCCCTTTCCTAAAATGAAACTAGGTCAGCAGTACAAGATGCCTTTTTCCTAAAGCACCCTCTGCCCAACTAACAAGGGTCTGGGCTACAGCACTCCTCTTGCATGAAGCTCTCACCAGGAAAAAGTCTTCCAGCTACGAACATGCTGTTTCTGCTGCTTCCTTCTCAGCTGCTTTTTAAACGTTACAATTAGAAGCATGTTTTTCATTATATTGTCAAGCTAATGGAGTTCACTTGGAAACACCAATAACAATGCCCCAAGGCTGACTATAAGGATGCTAAAATGATTTCAAAGAGGACACACAGCAAGGAAGAAGGGAGGGAAGGATGGAGGGACCTTTTAAAGCAAACCCACCACACACTGACTCTCCAGACAAACAGGAGAAATACATGTACACAGCCCTCCTAGACTTCTCACTGACTAATGCCTAAACTCCCCATTTCACATCCAAATACCCAAAAATGGAAAATAAAGCTATTTAGGGCACTAGTCCTTCTTTCATTAGTGTAAGAAAGCAAATTAGTTAC